TGAGCAAATTCAGTAAAGTTGCAGGATTAAAAAATATCAACATACAGAAACCTATTGCATTTCTGTACATTAACAAAAGATTATCCAAAAGAGAAATTTAAAAAGCAATACCATTTACAACAGCATCAACAAGAATGAAAAACAGAGGATAAACTTAACTAAAGAGGTGAAATAGTTGTATAGTAAAAACTGCGAAATGCTAATGAAACAAATTACAGAAGACAGAAATAAATGTAAAGACATCCCATACTCGTGGATTGGAAGATTTAATATTGTTAAAATGTCAGCACTATCCAAAGTGATGACCAGATTCAATACAGAAACCTGCAAATCTTCATCTGTCTGGAAGCTTCCCTAAATCAGTCCTTTTGGGGGTCTTTACGGAATCATAATCGCCCATTGGTGATCAGCTCAACCTTGAGCCCCTCTGCCCTCCAGGGAGGTTGAAGAGGGGCTGAATATTCCAACCCTCTAATCACATGGTTGGTTCACTAGGCGACAACCCACATCATCTGGTGATCCAGGAGCCCCTAGCTGTCAGTCATCTTATTAGCACATAAAAAGACACATCACTTAGAAAATCCTAAGTATTTTAGGAGTTGTAGAACAAAAAACAGGACAAAACCTAAATATATCTTTTACAATATCACAGACAGCTTTCTTTTTATTTGTATCTTCTTTAGTTTATTTTAGCAATGCTTTGTAGTTTTCAGTTTATAAGTCTTTTGCCTTCTTGATTACATGCATTTTCAAATATTTGTTATATTTTGTGCTACTGTAAATGGTATTATTTCATTTTTCTGATTGGCCCTGATAGTGTATAGAAACACATCTGATTTCTTCATGCTAATTTTGTATCCTGCAATTTTGCTGAAATCATAGGTAGCTGGTTGGTGGTCAGCACTCCATGTCACTGGATTTCACCTGGGTGGATTCAACTACCCACAGATCAAGAATATTCAGGAAAAAAGTGGATGGTTGTACTGAACATGTATACCTTTTTTCTTGTCATTATTTCCTAAATAATAAATTACAACAACTATTTACATTGTATTAAGTATTAGAAGTAATCTAGAAATAAAATATATAAGAGAATATATATAAGCAAGATGCAAATACTGTATCATTTTATTTAAGAGAATTGAGTATTTATAAATTTGGTGTCTGAGGGAGGTCCTGGAACATAGATGCTGAAGGATGACTATATTAAGTTTTTAAAACTAAATCATTAGAGATTTCTTCATATTTTGTCATCTGAAAAAAGGAAAATTAATTTTACTTCTTCCTGTCCAACAAAGATGCCTTTTATTTGTTTTTCTTGTCTAATTGGTCTGGCTAGGACTTCCGGTAGTATGTTGAATAGAAGGGGTGAGACTGGGCTTCATTCCCTTATTCCTGATCTTTGAGAAAAAGTTTTCAATAGTTTATTTTTGATTAAAAGCTAGATATGGGCTTTTCATATATAGCTTTTGTCATGTTGATGTAGTCTTCTTCTATTCCTAGTTAAGTGCTCTTATTTTTATTTTTATTTTATTTGGGGTGGCGGGGAGGGGTGGGTCAAGATCTTGCTCTGTTACCCAGGCTGGAGTACTCAGCAGTGTAATGACAGCTTACTGTAGCCTCAAACTCTCAAGCTCACGTGATCCTCCCACTTCACCCCTACACCAAAGAGCTGAGACTACAGGCACATGCCACCACACCTGGCTAATTTATTTATTTTTTTTACTTTTTGTAGAGATGGAGTCTCAGTATGTCTCCCAGGTTGGTCTTGGACTCCTGGGTTCAAGCAATCCTCCTACCTCAGCATCCCAAAGAGCTGGCGTTACAAGCATTAGCCACCATACCTGGGCCCTAGTTAAGTGTTTTTAATTAAGAAAGTGTTTTGAATTGTCTCAAACTCTGTCAGCATATATTTGATTTCCAAATGGTTCCGGTTATGTTCTGTTGTTTCTATTTTTTGTTGTTTTTGGAAAATTTACTTTTTGTAGAGATGGAGTCTCAGTATGTCTCCCAGGTTGGTCTTGGACTCCTGGGTTCAAGCAATACCCCTACCTTAGCATCCCAAAGAGCTGGGATTACAAGCATGAGCCACCATACCTAGGCCCTAGTTAAGTGTGTTTAATTAAGAAAGTGTTTTTAATTTTCTCAAACTCTGTCAGCATGGTTAAAGTTATGTACTGTTGTTTCTACTTTTTGTTGTTTTTGTAAAAAAAGGCAGTAACAAAAAGCTTATTCCGATGGCCGAGTGCGGTGGCTCATGCCTGTAATCCCAGCACTTTGGGAGGCTGAGGCAGGCAGATCACGAGGTCAGGAGTTTGAGACCAGCCTGGCCAACATGGTGAAACCCTGTCTCTACTAAAAATACAGAAATTAGTTGAGTGTGGTGGCATGTGCCTGTAGTCCCAGCTACTCGGGAGGCTGAGGCAGGAGAATCGCCTGAACCCAGGAGGTGGAGGTTGCAGTGAGCTGAGACCACGCCATTGTACTAGGCAACAGAGCAAGACTTTGTCTCAAAACAACAACAACAACAACAACAACAACAAAACAAAAAACAAACAAAAAAACCCGACCAATCGTGGTGGGTCATGACTGTAATCCCAGCATTTTGGGAGGCGCCAAGGCAGGCGGATCACCTGAGGTCAGGAGTTCAAGACCAGCCTGACCAAAATGATGAAACCCCATCTCTACTAAAATTACAAAAATTAGCTGGGCGTGGTGGCATATGCCTGTAAGCCCAGCCACTCGGGAAGCTGAGGCAGGAGAATCGTTTGAACCTAGGAGGCAGAGGTTGCAGTAAGCTGAGATTGCGCTATTGCATTCCAGCCTGGGCAACAAGAGCGAAACTCTGCTTCAAAAACAAAAAACAAAACAAAGCCTATTCCCTTTCTTAATGGTTTTGTTTTCTGATCACTGGTAATACTTTCAGGAGTATTAACAGCATTTACTGTATTTACTGTAGTTTGTGTAATTTCTTCCTACAGAGATTTTCAAATGAGTATTATCTCTTAGGCATGGCAATAGATGCTTTATGTAGTTTAAGGACATCAGGCTTTATTTAGGTTAAACTAATAGTTTTACTGTGCTACAGTCATTCCATGGGGTGGTCCCTGACACCTGGAGGATCAGAGTCTTTGTTGTATTAGAGGCATGTGCAGCAGCAGGAGCAGCAGAGGCACTTAATGGTCCTACTGAGTATGGACCTTAGGACACCATCTAATGGCAACTTCCTCACCCTCTCTCTCTTCTCTTTCCTTCTCTTTTCCAAGTGACCACTCTTTCAAGAATGACCATCTGATGGGCTCAAAAGTTGCACAGAATAAAATATCACAACAAGCCCCCAGTCCCAGACCTGTAGATTAAGGCCAATGCCCAGCATCGGTGACAGCTTCATTCTGAAATACACAGATAGGCCCCAGCCAAAACTCTTGAACCAGAGCCACTTTATGGAGCACCCCAAGCTCATGCTCTTGCTTATAAATGACAAGGAATTATGCAAACTGCTGACTTTTCCCAGCTGAATCTAGAACTGAGATCTGCTGGGCTTCAACAACGCAACACAGAGCAACAAGCAGCAGCTCAAAGTGCATGCTGGCCATCAAGCAACAGAGCAGGTTAGCAACCCAGAGCAAGAGATCACAGCCCCTGGCATGGTGATGATGCCAATTGTTATGGTCACCTGAAAAAGTGTGGTTCTGATGTTGACACTGATGGCTATGTGGCACATACACACTGAGAGTATGAAAATGCTTATTTAACATTTAGTTGAGGTTTCAGGGAGACCAGGACAGGCCTCTCAAGAAGATGTAAAATGGTTCAGAGAGAAAGGAAAATAGCATTGATATCCCTTACGAATGTGAATGTAAAATCCTCCAATAAACATCAGCAAACCCTATTAAGCAACATATTAAAAGCATTATACCACATAGCCAGGTGAGATTTTTCTTGGAATGTAAGGGTGGTTCCACATATGAAAATCAATGTCATACACATTAGCAAAATGATAGAAAAAATCATCTTAATTGAAACAAAAATTGATAAAATTCTACACCCATTGGTAATAAAAATGCGTAGTAAACTATGAATAGAAGATAACTTCCTCAACCTGCTATAAGCCACATGCGAAAATTTCACATCATTCTGATAGTGAAAAACTGGACTTTCAATATCTATGACCAAAACAAAACAAGGTTGTCTGCTCTCACTAGTTTTATTAAATATGTTAAGGGAGGTACTCTCAGGGAAATTAAACAAGAAAATTAAATAAAAGTATTCCAGATTTTAAAATGCATACACGGCCAGGTGCGGTGGCATATGCCTGTAATCCCAGCACTTTGGGAGGCCGAGGAGGGCAGATCACTTCAGGTCAGGAGTTCGAGACCAGCCTGGCCAACACAATGAAACCTAGTCTCTATTAAAAATATAAAAATTAGCCAGATGTGGTGGCACACACATATAATCCCAGCTACTCAGAAGGCTGAGGCAGGACAATCATTTGAACTTGAGAGGCGGACGTTGCAGTGAGCTGAGATCGAGCCACTGCACTCCAGCCTGGGTGATAAAGCGAGACTCCGTTTCAAAAAAGAAAAAAAATGCACACACACAACCCCACAGACCAACATAAAAATCACAAACACTTTATCACTATACATATAGGTGGGAAAACCCAGACACAGATACATAAGTCCACAAACCTACAGACGTAACAGGTCAGTGATACAGTAGATAATACTCCCAGAGCACATGGGCCCTAGGCCTTCTGCACTCTTCTGCAGGTGTTTCTGCACTCTTAGAAATAACTACCATAATATTATACATACTACATTTTTACTTGTTTTCTTCTTGTCTTCTAGAATGTTGGAGAAGACAGAGATAGGAGTACAGTTTTGTTCACTGAATACCAGGACTTACACAGACACAGCCACACACCCAAAAACGAGGTTTACACAAACCTCATCATAGGCCCACATATACATAATCTTCCAGGAGTGAACTGTTCTTACCCCCATTTCATGTGTGAGAAGAGTGACTCCTAGACCCCAAACCTCTTCCAAAAAGTTGTTCTTCAGCCCGTCCTGATGGAGAAGGTATTTCACACTACCTAAACACAGGGTACAAAAACTGCTTTTCCACAAAAGCACAAAATGGTAATACAAGGGCACAAAAGAAAGGGCTTAAAAAGTGTAGCATGCACATAATGGTAATAGCTGAAGAAAAAACAGAAAGAAACAGAAAAAGAATTGAAGCAATAAGGACTGATAATTTTCCCCAAATTAGTGAGACACCAAAACACATATTCAGGAATCTCAGAACTTGCCAAGCAACATAAATACCCCCAAATTCACACCTGAGCATACTACATTCAAACCAGAAAAAAATTAGACAAAGAAAAAGCCTTGAAAAGAGTTATAGGAGGAGAAAATCAACACCTAATTATAGAGAAACATTTATATGAGTTAAATTGGACTACCTGAAGGCTTCCTCTGCAAATAAGCACTTTGGTCTCCACAATACTTTATCTTAACCCAGACATTTCCTTTCTATTGATCCCAGGTCTTCAAACTCAACCAATTGTTAACCAGAAAAATTTTAAATCTACCTATGACCTGGAAGCCCCACTTCCAGTTGTCCCACTTGGGACAACTTCAACTGAACCAATGTATTTTTTCGTTTCTAAAGCTTTATTATTTTACGTTTTTAAGTTCATACAGTCATACATCACTTAATGATGGGAATTCATCTGAGAAATGCATCATTAGTAGATTTCCTTATATGGGAACATCTTATAGTACTTATACAAACCTAGATGGAATAGCCTACCCACCTAGGCTATCTGGCCTGGCCTATTGCTCCTAGGCTACAACTCCGTACAGCATGCTACTGCACCAAATATGGTAAGCAGGTAACACAAGGTATTTGTGTACCTAAACATATCCAAACACAGAAAAGGTACAGTAAAAATATTATAATCTTACAGTTCTGTAGTCCTATGTGCAGCCTTCATTGACTGAAATGTCATTATGTAGCACATGATTGTACTTAAATTACTTGCCTGCCAAAATGAGAGGGTAAATATTTCCTTCCTGGCCTGTTTTAATGCAAGGTTGTCTCATCTCAGGCTCAGGTATTCCAAAAAAGAAGTTTGAATCAATGTACTCCTATTATAAGCTCTTCAAATACCATTAGAGTGACCTGAAAACGAGTTTCATTCACTTTCTGAAGCAATAACTTGGGCACTGACCAATCTCATTTACAAAGTGCAATAAGTTACTACTACCTACTGAGCCTCCTGCTAAGCTGGAACTCACCCTGCTCCTCGTTTCACCCATAAAGATGCTGCTGATGTGGACCTGGGGTTGTTGAAGATATGGACATTTTTACTTTTGAGGGCAGTTGTTAACAGAAGTACAGGTCACCTGGAACAATTCCATTTTGATCCATGCTCTCAATTTAAGTCAACACTTTGAGAAGTTTCTCTTCGCTCCTAGCAGTCATAGGTAGAACAAAGTTCCTAGTTTCCTATTCTTGCGGACATAGCTGTCCAGTCATTCCTCAAAACCTTTCCCAAAGATGGCTTTCCCAAGAAGCTAATGAAACTTAAATTCACAGCTCATCACTTGTCCTCACAGGACCCTTCCAAGGCCTGGGAGGGGTCCCAGCAATGTGTTCACCTCATCATTTTGTCTTTTCCTTAAAGAGGACCTGTCAAATCACATAAGCACCAAGTCCACCAGAACTGAACCCTCCCCTGCCATTTTCCTCCCCCACTGATGGCCACCAGGCACTGCCCAAGCAGAAGGTTGGGATGATCTTGTGGGTAATGGTGGTTCTGCTACTCACAGTTCTGGTATAATAAATCAGCCACACTAGAAGAATTTCAGTTTTTTGCTTCAAAAGATGAACTTAATATAATAACCAAATTAGGATATGAGGTCTGAAAAAAGGATGTTTATTCTGATTTATAAAATTATTTATATGAAACGTTCCATGATGTTAATTACACATTTATTAGTTCCTCTTCATTGAAAAGAATAGAGTTACATTAGATAAGGTCTCTCTTATATGGCATGATACATAATAACCAATACCCCTCAGAATAGTGGTTCTCAACTAGAGGTGATTTTGTTTCCCAGGGGATACTTGGCAACGGCTAGAGACATTTTGGGTTGTCACAACTTGAGGAGTGAGGCAGTGTGTGGTACTCCTGGCATCTCGGGGGTGGAGGCCAGGGATGCTGTTAAGCATCCTACAATGTACTGGATGGCAGCCCATAACAAAAAATTATCCAGCCCAAAACATTCGTAGTGCCCAGGTTGAGAATCGCACCTTAAAATAATGGACACATATAGATAAAGAAGCTAGGATTCTCTCTGCAAATGATAAAGCTTTAAACTTTGGAGTAAAGTGTATGATGGCCAAGCTGACAGGTGGCTTACAGAGAGCCACTGTCTGATTTAAACCACCACATCATGATAAAAAGCAATGAAGCCTCTAGACTCTCATGAATCATGGGCCTCTAACGACCCTCACCAGGACTGGCTAAGTGAGAAGGTGCTGGTTTCAGGAGCAGCAGGAAAGGTACTTTGCCTCCCCACTTGTCTGTGCCTGATATCCTCTCACAGTGAGCACAGCCTTTCATTCCATAACGAGGCTTAAAGTGCAAAGACCTCCAGAAGAGAGAACACAGGGACCTACATTCATATTCAAGAGAAAGTGACTCATCACAGACTGGTTTTCCCCTGAGACCAGTTTTCATACAGTGAAAGGCTCTGAACAGCTGAAAATAATGGAGAGGAAGAGAGGACAGCAGGCTCTGATGAGGCCAGGAAGGAGTGAAGAAATGGGCAATAGAGGTCACTGAAGTAAGTGTCACCTATTCTACCAAGTCCTTCTCCCTGAGCCTGCAAGGAGGGAAGAAGGATGCAGAGGAAAAAAATAAGTCACATTCTTGGCCATGAAGATTATAGTCAAGTTCAGCTCAGGTGAAAAAACACCAGGAATGCCTGAAAGAATGGCTGAGACACATTCAGTGCTACCCCACGGCCAGGGCAGGGGAAAAGGGCACTTCCTAGCTGTGGGATCATGCTGAACCTCAATCAGTTCTGGGTGACACCCCCCACCTGACACCTAGCATAGTCCTTGACACACAGTAAAATGTTCAGGCAGTGCTTGTGTGTTGAGTGAATGGAAACTACTCCAGAAGAAGATCTATCAAATCCCTGAAGTGCTCTAAAGATGGTTTGTTCTCCTTGACACCTTTGCTAACACTATTTCCCTCAATTTGGGAGGAAAGTCTTTGTTAGTTTCTTTGCCCGTGTGAATCCTGTTTTGTCTTGCAAAGCCAGTTTGTTTTCTCTGTAAATTCTAAATGTTGGCCTCCAATGTTTTTCCCTCTTTTCTTATAAGCACATTCATGTAGTACTTATCATATTTTCTGTGTATCTTTCATAATGGTGTGAACCCAGAAAATCTGAGACAGATCTCAGTTAATTTAGAAAGCTTATTTTGCCAAGATTGAGGACATGGGTCTATGACACAGCCTCAGGAAGTCCTGATGACATGTACCCAAAGTGGTCGGGGGACAGCTTGGTTTTACACATTTTAGGAAGACATGAGACATCAATCAATATATGTAAGAAGTCCATTGGTTCAGTATGGGAAGGCGGGACAACTTGAAGCAAAGCAGGAAGACTGGAAGTGGGGAGGGGCTTCCAGGAGACACAAAGGGTTGCATTTTTTTGAGTTTCTGATTAGCCTTTCCAAAGGAGGCAATCAGATATGCATCTATCTTAGTGAGCAGAGGGATGACTTTGAATAGAATGGGAGGCAGGTTTGCCCTAAGCAGTTTCCAGCTTGAGTTTTTCCTTAGTGATTTTGGCGGCCCAAGATATTTTCCTTTCACAGGGTGCTTACTTCCAAAAAAGATTTGAGGGAGGCTTTCAAATTCACAACAAAAATAATAGAGTTTTAAATAAAGAATTTAAAAGGGAGGTCTCAGAAATAATTTAAGAAGAAAAAAATCATTGTACCAAGAGGCTGGGATAAAGCAGTTACCAGCAATTTCTGGAGGCCGAGGCAAAAAGATAAACATACAAGGCATGTAGAGAGTTTGCAATGTCTGATAAAAGAAAAGCCATAGTTCCTTGAAGTCAGAATATTATTTTTTTTCTGATGTTAAATTCTAGGAGGAATTTGCTCCCAGTTTTTCATATATGCTGCCCAAGTTGTCATTTTACATGTTTATCTCATGACCAGAGTTCCTTAGGACAAAGACTATGTCAGTGAAGCAGAAGTTAACAAGAGAAAAACAACTTTTCCTGTATTTGGCTGACTCACTCCAAGGCCAGCAATAGGCAGGGCCCTGGCAGAGCCTTGATAATACTATCTGAAAAGCCAGAGCCTAAAGGAATGAGCTCCAGGGACTCTCCCAACACCCCTCACCCCAGAGCGAGGATAAGAAAACAGAATTCTTTTCTCATAACTATTTCTACAAACACCTGGTTTTACAAGTTTTGTAAGTTCCTGTTTTCCCTACAGTGCAACTGCAAGGTCACAAGCTCTGCTTGGGTTGTGAGACCGATCATAATTTAGTTAACTGCCTTTGTTCTGCTTCTGTAAGCCTGCTTGCCTGCTGCATGAGTTTTGTGCCATCAAATTCCCGCCATGCCATTCAAACTAGCCAGCCCCCTTTCAGAAATGTGTATAAAAGTCAAGCCCTGTCTTTGTTTGGAGCTCAGCCTTTGGATGTTAATCTGCTGAATCGATGGCCACCTAATGAAGTCCTCCTGTTCCACCCATTAGTCTCTCCAGTCTCCTGATTCCTGTAACAGTAGGCTACATTTACCTGATAAAAGCCTATATAACATTGTAAGTACTCAAATATTTGCTGATGAATATGATTTTCTTGCTAGTCTGCATATTCCAGTGTATCTCAAGATCCTAAGATTATCGGAGTAAGAGATTCATCAAATCTCTTAGCAGGAAAACCATTTGATTCCACCCCTCGGTCCCCAGTCATGGGCAATGATGGGATTTAAAGACTCACTCCAATGCCACCGGTACCTGATTGGAGTGAGGGGCTGGAAGGTCAGGCTGGCCCTATCTTCATGCTTCCCTCTCCCTTTCCCTATTGGTTCCTTCCTTGTTTAGGTGATTGTCTTTTTGTCTTTCTGTCTCTAGCACAGATTCTCTGTCCCTTTGGGCATTAAGGCTTTGTCTTATTGCCCTTTGATTCTCTGTGATAATTCCATGGTGCTTTGTACAAAGAAACAGACTTTTCTAATGTAAGGAAACTGAATTGGAAAGAGGTTCCAGAGCAGTCCTTTTCATCATCAGCCTTGCTCCTGTCTGACAAACCCTTAAGAATAGAAATGTACCCTCAAGTGTAGAAGACCAGCCCTTCCTACACCATGCAAGTGACCTAGAAAGCTTAAAATTCAGGTCACTAAACGAGTTGAAGACTCAAGAGTCAGAAGATCATTTACTCTCCCTTGTTTCCATATGTACCCCAAAAGTACCCTGGGCAACCCTTCAGCAAAAAAGCCATTTGTACTTAGTAGGTGCTCAGTAAATGCTAAAATAAGGCCATAGCATAGCTACCTTGAACACAGTAGGTACTCTATAAATAACTGTTAAATTGAGAAAGTCATGGCACATTATCTTTGTACACAATAGGTGTTCAATACATATCTATTCAACATAAAAGTTTGTAGTATATCTGCTTTGCATATAGTAGGTGCTCAATAAGTATTTTCTACATTAAGGTGATTGTAAGATAAGTGCCTTGCATACAATAAGCTCCCAGGAAATGGCTATTGAATGGAATAGTCGTGGACACTTTCTCTTTAGAGAACCCAGGTAGAGGTGACATTAATCAGCCCTGAGGCACAGATCTATGAATGGAAATGCACATCTCCAGGTAGCACTTTGGAGTGTGCTGGGGAGGTGTGCGAGAGTAGGCCGGGAGCACTGCGCTCATTCGGGACACTGCCAACCCACTGCTGGCTCCCCGGGTAAAGCAATTGGAATCCATTCTCCACTGGGGGAGGGAAACAGCCGCCACCTCTAGTTGTCACTTCGGGGCCTCACCTGGAACTCCTGCCACAGCCCTCTCCCAGGGCATCCACCCACCTGAACTTCTCCAGTTCTGGAGAGTAGGTGGCAGAACAAAAGCAAAAGTTGGCTTCCGATTGCTTTCCTGAGAGACAACAACCCGGAGGAGGCTGGGGAGCTGGGCTGGGACCCAGCTGTGCTGTCCTTCACAGCCCGACCTCCTCACCCGGCTAAGGCTCTGGACTGCAGTGCTGGGGGAAGCAGCAGGATCCCCACTCACCACTCCCCTGGATCCCCAGACTGGCAGAGTGGGCACTTCACTGGGTGGGGCGGGGTGAGGGTGCTGTATTAACCCTTGAAGGAGGGAGGCTGGAGGGAAGGATAATAGGGGACCCCACAACCGAGATCCAAATCAAAGTCACAGTGTGAATCGCCCCTGGGTGACCCCAAGTGCGGTGGGACTGTCCTTGGGGTGGAGTCCCCTGGCAAGGCCCTGCCCGTCCGTCCCCCTCCCCTAACTATGGCCAAGGGGGAGGAGGCCACCCACGGCGGTGGGCAGGTCCGTGGGAGACCCCGCCGCTCAGACACGCACTGGGCTGTCAGTGGCTTGGCCTTGGGGGTGGCGGGGCAGCAGAGTGAGCGAGGAAGTCTCATCTCTTCTCGTCTCTTCCTTTCTCCCTGCTTCTCTGGAGCCTGCAGGCCTCCTAGTGGTGCTGGGAGAGGAAGCCAGCGGGAGAACTGCTGACCCAGGTGGGGCCCCAGAGCGCCTTTGTCTGTGGCCACGGCCCAGCTAGCGAGCTCCTCAATGTATTTCTCCAATGTATTTGATTGATGTCTCGTGTCTCCCTAAAATGTCCAGGCTGCACCTGACCACCTTGGGCACATGTTCTCAGGACCTCCTCAGGGCCATGTCATGGGCCATGGTCCCTCATATTTGGCTCCAAATAAATCTCTTCAAATATTTTACAGAGTTTGACTCTTTTCATCAACACAAAGAAGAAAAATGACAAAGCTGAGCATTAGACAAAAAAAAGAATGAAGGTTAAATAAAACAAATTTAAATAGGAGAAAGACATTGATCCACTAATACAGTTGGAGATTTCACTACCTCTCTCTATTGGTATAAGGAGAGCCAGCAGGCGGAAAAGCAGGAAGTACATAATGAATTGAACAGCACCATCAAACAACTGGACTTAATTCAAAAATAGAAAATTCAGTCAGCAACTGCAGAATAGACATTTTTCTCAGGTTCACATGGAACATTCACCAAGATGGCCCATATTCTGGAATTTAAACACATCTTAACAAATTTGAAAGAACAGAACTAATACAAAACATGCTGTCAGACTAACATGGCACCAATTCAGAAATCATTAATAGATAATGATTCTGAGATAGATAATTGATAATCATTAATCAATAATAGAAAGATAGCTTGAAAACCCACAAATGCTTGGGAGGTTAAACAATATGCCTCTATAAAATGTAAGGATCCAAGTTGTTTCAGGATATGTTAAAATTATTTCTAATTAAATAAAAATATAACATCAAAATTTGTGGAATGCAGCAAAAGACTAGAAGAAAATTTTTACTACTGAGTACCTATGATACAAAAATATATATATTCTGTGTCTAAACCTTAGAAAACTAAAAACTGAAGAGGCAACTGAACCCAAAGAAAGCACAGGCAATAAATAACAAGAGAAGCAATAAATGAAATTATGGAAAACCAATAGAAAAAAATCAACAAAAGCTAAAGTTGGTCTTGTCAAACGAACAATAAAATGGACAAATGTCTACTCAAGGTAACTGAGAAAAAAAGAGAAGACAAAAATTATTAATATGTCAAATAAAAGGGGGGAAATGAAAATTAAAAAGCATTTGACGAAATCCAACATCCATTATGACAGCAAACTAAAAATAGAAACTTCTCTCTTTGAGAAACAACACCTACAAGAAACCTGCAGTTACCATGATGTTGGAAATAAATGCTCAGTGCCACAAAGTGAAACTAGCACTCAGGCAAAAGTTTTCTCGGGAAAGCAAATTTACTTCTGCAGCAGAAGGGTGCTGCTTGTGTCCATCACGATCACAAGAGCACAATGAACAAAGGAGGAAAAGGGCTTTTATTCCTAATGTAACCCCCACCTCTGTGTCACTCCCCCATGGGGCTGGGCTCAGACCGGACATTCTAAGTTGACACGATTGGATATTTGTGAATACTTTCCCAAATAAGGAAGGGAAGGTGGATGTGAGTTACAGTGGTGGGACGTGAGGTTTTGAAGGGAGGAAGGGAGGAGTGGGTAACCAAGGGAACAGATGTGAGTTATTGATTAGAGCTGACGGGAAGGTTGTTTACAGTAACTAGGGGCAAGGAAGAATAGAGAACAAGAAATTTGAGTTTGAGAACAAAGAACAAGGAAGTTAACAGGCTAAACCTTTGAAGAGGAATTTATTGTATCC